TTTGCTTCATCAACAAACACAGCCTTTCTGTTTCTAACAGCCATCTCTACGTCCATGGCAGCTTTCCACTGAGAGGCCCTAGGTCCCGTAGTCGCCTAAGCGTACGTGCGAGGGGTCGGGATGTCAAAAGCGTCTGTGTTACCCTCAGGGACTAGCAGTATGGAGCCGAGATGAGGAGCGGCCTCGGAAAGGAAATCTAGCTCGTACTTCCAGTCCTCTAAGACGTCATTGCCAAGGGCAGGTGCACCCTCGACGGACGGAGGATGGGCCGGGTCGGAGACTAGAATAGTGGCATAGTCAAGGCGGCAGGTAGAGGCAAAGTCAGCGACGGCAGCGACAAGAGCCGAGAGACGGGAGACATCAACGGACGGGTCGGTAACAAGAAAGGCGAGGACACGAGGAACCAGAGGGCGAGCATCACGGAGGAAGTCAGAGAGAGGAGGCAAGAAGACAGAGAGGGACGACTCAGGAGGCAAGGGGAGAACAAGAGCGGAAGGAGCACGAGATGTGTGAGAATGGAGGAACAAAGGGTGAGAACCCTGAACAGGGGAGACGGGAGGGACAGTGAGACCAGAAGTGGGAGGGAAGCGTTGGGTCAGGAGACAACAGAGGAGACAAAGGAGAACGAGCGGGGAAATGAGCCAGAGACGAGTCCGGCAGAGGGTACACATAGCCGTAGACAGAAGGATGTGGCATTTTGAGAGGCATGGGCGGTAGGTCGGGGGAGGGAAGACCGAGGAGGCGAAGGGCGGACACTGGCGACAACTGCTGCTGCTTCGCCCCCACACCAAAACCTCCAGCCGCACCACTGCTATCTCCAGGACTCGCCATGACAGCACCCTTAGAACAGCACCCCCAGGACCAGCACCCCTAGGATTAGCACCCCAGAGCTAGCAACCTCCTCAGAGGCAACACCGCTAGCGCCAACACCCCCAGCACCCACTAACCCGTGCTGCAGCGGCGGCTGCTGCTGCTGCTGCTACGGTGGCAAGGACTGCTGCAGCGGCGGCGGCTGCTGCGGTGACTGCTGCTGCTGCTGCGACGACTGCTGCTGCTGCTGTGGCGGCGCAGGAGATTTTGGGGCTGAGGGTGCAGGCACCATAGACACAGGCGGCAACAGACTCCTCCGCCGGGCCAACCGAAGGAAGGGGAGTGACATGAGACACACCGGACGGGGCAGGACAGGGAGAGTGAGTTACCGGGGGAGTGGGGACAAGGAACATGGGCGGGGTAACCGGGAGACCTTGGTGGGGGAAGCAGGTATAGAAGGAGATAGACTCGTCAAAGGTGACGTCACGTGAGTGAAAGAAATGGTGAGACGACGAGTGGTAGAAGTGTCAGTCAGAGGTGTCTAGGGGAAAACCAACTTTGACACAAGGGACGGTGCCGGCGGTGAGCTTGTCCATGTCAGAGGTGCGGACGTGAGCTAGGCAGCCCTAGTCGTGAAACGCAGATGCGTCACCAGGGACCCGGTCCAGAGAAGGATTGGCGAAACTTGTTGGCGCAAAGAGCAGGGGCACAGGTTAAGCTGGTGGGCGGCGTAGCGATCTTCGAACGGCCACAGAAAATGGGGTCCACCGGCATGGAACATGGAGGTACGAGCCACCTCCACGACCAAAACAATGCATCGCTCAGTCATCCGATTCTGCTGTGGGGAGTTCGGCTATGTGTACGACTGGTAATTCCCTCCGCACGATTGAAGTAGCCAAGCCGACCGGAGGCGAACTTGCCACCACGGTCGGAGTGGAGACGCAACTCTGGCTGGGCACGATGTACCCATGCAGCTACAAGCCACGGGATAAGAACGTCAGTCACGTTGGCCTTCCGCTCCAAGGAAAACACCGTGGTGTAGCCTATGTGGGGAAATGAGGAGGAGTGAGGAGCACGGCGCCGACACAAGGAGTGCACAGAGGCACGGAAGAGGGAGGGAGGGCAAGGAGCAACGCAGGGAGACCTAAGACGGGACCATGCTGAGACATATGACGTAGACGCGGGAGTGCAGGGTGACCTAGGTGATGGTGCCATAGAAGCAATGGGAGAGTGAGCGACCGACACGAGCAAGCCATAGCAACCTGGATAGACGCAGCTACCTGGGGGAACAAAGCCACCGGGGGGGGCGCAGTGTTCAGCATGAACAGGCCAGACACCGCAGTGTCAGGTCCCGGGGGGACGTGGTGAGGGGGACACCAATGGCGGCCTCAATACAGACTGCGTACCGCTCGTATTTGGGATACATAGTGGTGACGCCGAGGTCCTGAAGACAGCCGACACCAACTATGTTCCTGGAGAACGATAGGATGTGCAGACTTGTAAAAAAGCCTGAGGGAAGTGCCGGAAAGGGAAGTGTGGTGGAGCTATGTGCAACTACCGGACTAGAAGAGGGGTCGGCAAGGGAGACTGTTGCAGGGGCAGAAAGCGGCGTAAGAATGGTGTGGTCGCGAAAAAAGCAGGCGGACGCACCGTAGTCTAGCGTGAAGGAGAGCGCGACGTTAGCGTCAGCTGGAGGGGGCACTAGCGTGGAGCCAAGGCTAAACAAGTCAGGGGGTCCTATGCTTGACACAGCAAGGGAGCCTAGACTATACACAGCAGACACATCTAGCCTAGGCAACACAGAGTAATGAGGTCCAGTCAAACTAGAGTCATCAACATACATGGCATACAAACAGGGCGAATCTGATCCATCTCAAAGACCGGCACACGGAGATTTACCAGGGTGTGCCAGTACGGGAGGTCCGGTGTGGGCCCGAAATGGAGACGGAAGAGGTCGTCGAGGCAGCGCTACCAGCGGGCGGCGGTGTGCCTGGGACGGTCACACACGGTGCCACAACGGGGACCAGTCTAAAGCTGGTACTGGCAACTCACCGCACAGGAGCCGCCACCCGACGTCGAGCTGCGAGGGCCGCCTGCGCGGCCACCACCACCAAAGCCGCCTGGCCACCACAGCGGCAAGACCCCCACTGCTGCTGCTGCTGCTACCGCTGCGGCTGCTACTGCTGCTGCTCTGGGGCGTCAGCCCCCATCCTCTCGTCTCCACACCCAGCACTCCTGCCACCGCCACCTCCCCCGCCACCCCCACCACCCCCAACACCCTTCCCTCCCTTATGCCTCCCCTTGGGGCATGGTAGAGCTCTACCTTGATGAGGGTGTGCTAAGGCCACCGCGGTTCCCTCAGCGACAGGGACTGTCTCAACGACAGCAGCGGAAATATTAGAGCAAGTGCAGTGGGAGGGAGCACAGCCTTGGAAGATAGGGACCAAAGCCAAGCAAAGCGAACCGAAGCCAAGCGAAGCACAAGGAAGCCAAGCGAAGCCAAGCACAGCCAAGTGAAACAAAGCCAAGCCAAGAGAAGCGAAGCCAAGCCAAGCGAGGCGAAGCAATGCCAAGCGAAGCGAAGCAAAGCAAAGCCAAGCCAAGCCAAGTGAAGCGAAGCGAAGCTAAGCCAAGCCAAGCCAAGCAAAGCGAAGCGAAACGAAGCGAAGCGAAGCGAAGCCAAGCGAAGCGAAGCGAAGCAAAGCGAAACCAGGGTATTCGAAGGCAAGCCAAGCCAAGCCAAGCAAAGTGAAGCCAAGCCAAGCAAAGTAAAGCCAAGCCAAGCGAAGCAAAGCCAAGCCAAGCGAAGCAAAGCGAAGCGAAGCAAAGCAAAGCCAAGCCAAGCGAAGCGAAGCCAAGCGTAGTGAAGCGAAGCGAAGCCAAGCCAAGCAATGGGAAGCGAAGCCAAGCGAAGCGAAGTGAAGCCAAGCGAAGTGAAGCAAAGCCAAGCGAAGCCAAGCAAAGCGAAGCAAAGCAAGCCAAGCCAAACCAAGCCAAGCCAAGCCAAGCTAGTCGAAGCCAAGCCAAGCCAAGCCAAGCCAAGCCAAGCCAAGCAAAGCGAAGCAAAGCAATGCCAAGCCAAGCGAAGCGAAGCCAAGCGTAGTGAAGCGAAGCGAAGCCAAGCCAAGCAAAGGGAAGCGAAGCCAAGCGAAGCGAAGTGAAGCCAAGCGAAGTGAAGCAAAGCCAAGCGAAGCCAAGCAAAGCGAAACAAAGCAAGCCAAGCCAAGCCAAGCCAAGCCAAGCCAAGCTAATCGAAGCCAAGCCAAGCCAAGCCAAGCCAAGCCAAGCCAAGCAAAGCGAAGCAAAGCAAAGCCAAGCCAAGCGACGCGAAGCCAAGCGAAGCCAAGCAAAGCAAAGCCAAGCCAAGCCAAGCCAAGCTAAGCGAAGCGAAGCAAAGCCAAGCAAAGCAAAGCGAAGCCAAGGGAAGTGAAGCCCAGCCAAGCGAAGCAAATCGTGTTGGTTAGAGAAGGCTATAAGCAGATGATTCAATGGCTCCTTGGAAATTTCTGCAGCACTTCGTTATGACGCCCAGAAAACTCGCGACCTTCGAATAGCTATATCAAAAACTCCAATCGGTGAAACGATCTGAAAATCGGATATGTTGTAGCTGGCAGTGTCAGCTTTCCACTGAAAGTTGAATCACTCGATTCCGTAGCTAAACGAGTGAGCTATGGCGTTTGGCGCACTGGGGGGTAATCTGCCCTAGGAGAAGTTGACAGTCCTCAGAGTCACTATGATTGAAGCTTACAAGATCAGAGGCATGATAGAAAAGGCATTGAAACACAGTTGGAAGGTGGGGTAGGAAGTGAAGGATGAAAGGGAAGGACCCTGGAGGCCCATGGTCAAGAACATGACAAGAGTCAAAGTTTTGACTCCCCATCCTCAGGTTCAGCCAGCCTGGCAAGACAAATTTCACACTGTGCCAGGTTGGCCTCCAAACCCCAAATGCTGCAGCTGCAAGGTGGGGACAAAAGTCCCACACATGCTGGTCCCTCCTCGTTATAGGGCTCTCCAACTTTGGTGTAGCAGCTGACAAGGACTTCCAATGAGTTGTAACAAATCCATCAAACATTTCTTCGTAACTTCTTCATATGTGCTCCGATTCCAACAATTCTTGGCTCGTTGGAATGTGCTCGATGTCATGCACAATCCAAGCACATCTGCACAAGCACAAGATGAACATGCAAAGACATGCAAACCCAACAAACCATACAAACAACGTAGCACACAAAACACATGCAAACGAAATGATGCGAACAGACGACAGGATGACGTGCAAATGAATATGCACCAACACACTCCCCCTCAGACTGTCGGCTTGTTTCGCCGTCTCTAGTTCAAGGACATTCCCGCCATCCTCGCACAGCGCCAGTGTGGCTCTTCAGCTAGCCGCTTGCACTGTATTGCCTTCTTCCCATTTGGCAAATACACCAGGTCCCATGTGTGATTCTCCATCTTGCTGTTGTACTCTGCATCTCTTGAAACGAGCCACTTCCCCCGTTGAGGCCCGGCTAGCGCATGATCCATGCTCGGAGGTTGTATTGGTGCGTAAAAGCAGTATGCAGGCTCCTTGTCATCTGACTCTTGGTCATCACCCAAGAACAGCACTGCATCTTCGCCTTGAGCCTGTTCCTGCTGCTCAGTTGTGGCTCCTCCACTTGTGGAGCTCAACAGCTTTCTCATTGCCATTCTGGTACGTGCAGGGTAGATGGTTGGATTTACCCATTCTTTCACCTTCACCCAATCCTTTGTCCCCCCACCAATCTGTTTCCTTCGCTTTGGCAGACTTGGTGTTTTGGAAGCCTCTTGCTGCTGCTGCTCCGGATCCTTGACTTCAGCATCAGCTGCAATATCCTCATTGCTTCCTTCATCAGTACCGCTTGCCGTTGGCGCAGTGACTTCGCTGTCCTCAGGTTCGGACAGATCGAAGTGCATAGTGATCTCTTCCAGCTGCTGGGTGACCCTTGCCTCCGGCTGCTTCTCCCACTTGCCATACATGATGTTCTCCACCAATTTGACATCCCGACTATTGTTGGTTAGAGAAGGCTATAAGCAGATGATTCAATGGCTCCTTGGAAATTTCTGCAGCACTTCGTTATGACGCCCAGAAAACTCGCGACCTTCGAATAGCTATATCAAAAACTCCAATCGGTGAAACGATCTGAAAATCGGATATGTTGTAGCTGGCAGTGTCAGCTTTCCACTGAAAGTTGAATCACTCGATTCCGTAGCTAAACGAGTGAGCTATGGCGTTTGGCGCACTGGGGGGTAATCTGCCCTAGGAGAAGTTGACAGTCCTCAGAGTCACTATGATTGAAGCTTACAAGATCAGAGGCATGATAGAAAAGGCATTGAAACACAGTTGGAAGGTGGGGTAGGAAGTGAAGGATGAAAGGGAAGGACCCTGGAGGCCCATGGTCAAGAACATGACAAGAGTCAAAGTTTTGACTCCCCATCCTCAGGTTCAGCCAGCCTGGCAAGACAAATTTCACACTGTGCCAGGTTGGCCTCCAAACCCCAAATGCTGCAGCTGCAAGGTGGGGACAAAAGTCCCACACATGCTGGTCCCTCCTCGTTATAGGGCTCTCCAACTTTGGTGTAGCAGCTGACAAGGACTTCCAATGAGTTGTAACAAATCCATCAAACATTTCTTCGTAACTTCTTCATATGTGCTCCGATTCCAACAATTCTTGGCTCGTTGGAATGTGCTCGATGTCATGCACAATCCAAGCACATCTGCACAAGCACAAGATGAACATGCAAAGACATGCAAACCCAACAAACCATACAAACAACGTAGCACACAAAACACATGCAAACGAAATGATGCGAACAGACGACAGGATGACGTGCAAATGAATATGCACCAACACACTCCCCCTCAGACTGTCGGCTTGTTTCGCCGTCTCTAGTTCAAGGACATTCCCGCCATCCTCGCACAGCGCCAGTGTGGCTCTTCAGCTAGCCGCTTGGTAAGGAAGTCGGCTGGCTGTTGCTGAGTTTTCACGTAGATCGGATCCAGTGTCCCAAGCTTCACCTCCTTCCGCAGCCAATGCCACATGATCCTCATGTGCTTGTTCAACCCATGAAGAACTGCATTGCGTGCCATGGCAATGGCTCCCTTGCTATCACTGAACAGAGGTGTCGCACAAGTCTGTTCATGGCCGATCTCCTTCAAGAGCCTCCTTAGCCAGATGATTTCTTTTGCCGCATGAAACATCGCCATGTACTCAGATTCCACTGAAGATAGTGCCGTCTCAGACTGCTTCTTGGACCTCCAACTTACAGGCCCACCTCCCACCATGCAGATGTATCCACCAACTGATGATGAATCCTCATGCTCAGAAGCCCACGTGGCATCAGCAAAACAGGAAAGGAACACCTTTCCTTCTCCGAGCTGCTCCCCCTTCTCTTTGAGGACTTCAATTCTTTTTTGACTGAGTTGAGCAGAGGCTGAATACTGTACTCCCACTGTAGGGTATGACTTGAGGTAGCGCACCACTCTCTTCGCTGCACCACACTGCTCTTCTGTTGGATTTTGCACTACTCGAGCCAGCTGTCCCACAGCAAAGCTGCTGTCAGGCCGAGTATGCACAGCAGCGTAGAGTAGGTTCCCGACCATGGATTGGAATTGCCTCTGGTCTTCACTCTCAACTCCTTCTCCTTCAGCTGCCTTTATGAGTTTGAACTCGGAAGGCAAAGGTGTGACCACTTCCCGTTCTTCCTGCAGAGAGTACTTCTCAGCCAAGGTGTTGATGTACTGTCCCTGATGCAGTTTGAGCCAGCCACGTTCAGTATCCCGCTCAATATGCATTCCCAGGTAGTACCTTGCCTCTCTAAGTGACTTGCACTTGAACTGCTCTGTGAGCTTCCGCTGCACCCCATCGATCTCCTTGTCACTGCTGCTGAAGAGCAGGATGTCATCCACGTACACCAGCAGAAGCACAAGTGACTCCCCCTCTCCCATCAGGAACAGGCTCTCGTCGCATGCACTCGCACGGAATCCAATCCCTTCCAGTGCACTGGCCAGCCTGTTGTACCAGCATCTCGGGGCCTGCTTCAAGCCATAGATGGCCTTGTTAAGTTTGCAGACACGACCGGTTCCATCCTCATAGCCAGGTGGTTGAACCATGTACACCTCCTCTTCCACAATGCCGTACAGAAAAGCGGTTACGATGTCCATCTGCTTCACCTTCCATTTGCGCACAGCAGCTACCGCCAGCAGCACACGTAGCGTTGGAGACTTAGCAGTTGGGGCAAACACTTCTTTGTAATCTTCCTTCTCTTTCTGCTGAAACCCCTTTGCCACCAGCCTGCTCTTGTAAACTGATGGCTCTCCTTTCTCATCCGTCTTGATTTTTGCCAGCCACTTGCACTGTATTGCCTTCTTCCCATTTGGCAAGTACACCAGGTCCCATGTGTGATTCTCCATCTTGCTGTTGTACTCTGCATCTCTTGAAACGAGCCACTTCCCCCGTTGAGGCCCGGCTAGCGCATGATCCATGCTCGGAGGTTGTATTGGTGCGTAAAAGCAGTATGCAGGCTCCTTGTCATCTGACTCTTGGTCATCACCCAAGAACAGCACTGCATCTTCGCCTTGAGCCTGTTCCTGCTGCTCAGTTGTGGCTCCTCCACTTGTGGAGCTCAACAGCTTTCTCATTGCCATTCTGGTACGTGCAGGGTAGATGGTTGGATTTACCCATTCTTTCACCTTCACCCAATCCTTTGTCCCCCCACCAATCTGTTTCCTTCGCTTTGGCAGACTTGGTGTTTTGGAAGCCTCTTGCTGCTGCTGCTCCGGATCCTTGACTTCAGCATCAGCTGCAATATCCTCATTGCTTCCTTCATCAGTACCGCTTGCCGTTGGCGCAGTGACTTCGCTGTCCTCAGGTTCGGACAGATCGAAGTGCATAGTGATCTCTTCCAGCTGCTGGGTGACCCTTGCCTCCGGCTGCTTCTCCCACTTGCCATACATGATGTTCTCCACAAATTTGACATCCCGACTATCAAACAGCACATTCTTTGAGGGCTCCCAGAGTAGCCACCCCTTGCTCTCTGCCGCAAGCCCAAGGTGCACACACCAAAGTGCAGATGCTCCAAGCTTTGTCCTGTACGGTTTAGGGACATGCGCCACTGCCATGCATCCGAACACTCGAAGCATGTCCACTGGAGGCTTCTTTCCAAGCCACCTCTCCAGCGGCACCCACATATCATCAGCCACCTTTGTGAGTACGCGGTTCCTTGCCACTGTAGCATGCCTCACCGCATGAGGCCACATGGAGTTCCCCAGCCCTGATTCGATCAGCAGCGCTCGCGCAGTTTCCAGGATGGTCCTATTAGCCCTCTCAGCAACGCCATTTGACTGAGGGGTATAGGACGTCGTTAGCTGATGCTCAATGCCTTGTTTCTTGAGCCACGCAGTCAGATCTCCTCCTAGAAACTCTCCACCTCGGTCGGTTCTGATGCTCTTGCATGGGTGCCCAGATTGTCGCTCGACGAACGGCAGCCAATCATCTCGTATTGTTGAGGCAGCATGATCCTTCTGCTTCAACGGGTATGCCCACATCAGCCGACTCCAGTCATCAACTATTGTCAGGAAGTACCTTTCCCCCTTACTTCCTCGGACTGGAAAAGGTCCTACGAGGTCCATGTGCACCAGTTCCAGTGCTGCCTTGCTTTTCCCAGCTACGCCGTGAAAGGGGAACCGTGTGAACTTGCTCAGCAGACACGTCTCGCACTTGGTAGCATTTGGTTGCCCAGAAAGCTTGAGCCCCTTTACTGCTTCTTCCTTATGCAGTTGCTGCAGCAATGGCATAGCCACATGCCCTAGACGCCTGTGTGCGGTTTCCCAATCAGTCTCCCCCGACCTTGCAGAAACCGTCACTCCTGCAGCACTAACTGCATTACACTCCCCCTGGACTCCAGAACCCGCCTTTACTTCTCCCAACTCCTTCTTTGTTGATTCCCATATCAGTGCAGGGATCTGCCACATGGATCTGAAGACATCTCTGCTTTCGTGTAAATCCCATAACACACGATCTCCTCGCAGCCCCTTGAATGTTTTGGATCCATTGGTGGTGGTGCTGACTCCGGCCTGGCCTAGCTTGCGCAGCGATATCAGGTTGGCCTTCAGCCCCGGTACGAGTAACACATCCTTCAGCACAACCAGTCCACCATCAGGTGCTCTGAATGCAGCTCGACCAACTCCAGCGACCTTCACTGCATGTCCGGATGCTGAGCGCACTTCAGAGATTGGAGGCGCTCGCACAGCATCCAGCAAGTCCTTGCGTGGTGTCATTGTCCATGCAGCACCAGAGTCCATGACCCACATGTCAAGCGGGTGCAATTCCTCTCCAGCCCTTGCAACAGCTGTGCCACTGTCATCTTTGTCACACACATGGTAGAACTGTCCAGCATTCCTCTCCTCATTTCGCATTCCTCTGTCATCCTTGGAGGTTTCTTCAGCAGGATCAGCTACCATGTTGGCACCTCCATGTGGTTGTTTTCCTCCATTCCCCTTCTCCGATTGGTTCCAAGGGGTCCACCAGTCGGGCTTGGTAGGGCAGCGAAACCATGGATGCCCTTCTTCCTTGCAATACCAGCACTCTCCCCTCAAGCGTGGTTCACTGTTGTCATTGTTGGAGTGACCACCTCTTCCTCTTGCACCAGCGCCACCACGCCCCCGCTGGTTCCAAGTCCCGCGACCACCTTGGCTGTGGTAAGAGCGACCGCGATTGCCACGCCCTCGATCCCTCCATGTCCCTTGCATGGCATAGCCGCTGGTGCTGTCATCACCTCCGCGCAGTGTATAGCGACGAAAATCTTCTTCCAGAATCTTGGTGCGAATCCACTCCAATGTCCATTGACTTTGGTTTTGTGGCAAGCTGAGTCCGCTTATAAATTGCAGCCAAGACTCCGGCAGCAGGCTGAGCATCTTGAGACACTTTGTCTGCTCTGGGTACGTGATGCCTGCAATCGCCAATTTCGCGTAGAGTTCCCTCATCTTGTCCAGTACGGGCTGCACAGCTTCATTCTCGCTCAACCGCAGCATGGACAGCTCCCGATCCAGCATGAGAGAAGCGGCAACCGATGTCGGAGCGTGCAGGTCCTTGAGCACTGCCCATGCCTTGGGCCCACAATCAATTTCCGGTAGCAGATGCATGATGTGATGCCTCTGGTTCAGCTCCAAGCTTTGTGACAGTAGATAGTACCCAGCAGATGAACGTTCATCCCAGTCCGCTTGCTCTGCCATTTCCTTTGGCCTTGGCTCCGTTCCAATCATGAGCTTCAAGAGGCCAATTTGTCGAAAGTAGAGCTGCATCTTCCATGCCCAATCATCATAGCCATCTCCAGAGAACTTCTCAATGGTGAAGTTCTTCAGCACCTCCTTAAGCAGTGACCCCTGGCTTGTACGCGCTCCCCTTTGCGCTGCAATGCCAGAATCTTGGGTTGAGCTGCCTCCTTGGACTGAAGTATCACCTCCACCAGAGTCCTCTTTATCTCCCATCGTATTTTAGGTCCCAAATGCGTGATAATAGGCTCTGATACCACTTGTTGGTTAGAGAAGGCTATAAGCAGATGATTCAATGGCTCCTTGGAAATTTCTGCAGCACTTCGTTATGACGCCCAGAAAACTCGCGACCTTCGAATAGCTATATCAAAAACTCCAATCGGTGAAACGATCTGAAAATCGGATATGTTGTAGCTGGCAGTGTCAGCTTTCCACTGAAAGTTGAATCACTCGATTCCGTAGCTAAACGAGTGAGCTATGGCGTTTGGCGCACTGGGGGGTAATCTGCCCTAGGAGAAGTTGACAGTCCTCAGAGTCACTATGATTGAAGCTTACAAGATCAGAGGCATGATAGAAAAGGCATTGAAACACAGTTGGAAGGTGGGGTAGGAAGTGAAGGATGAAAGGGAAGGACCCTGGAGGCCCATGGTCAAGAACATGACAAGAGTCAAAGTTTTGACTCCCCATCCTCAGGTTCAGCCAGCCTGGCAAGACAAATTTCACACTGTGCCAGGTTGGCCTCCAAACCCCAAATGCTGCAGCTGCAAGGTGGGGACAAAAGTCCCACACATGCTGGTCCCTCCTCGTTATAGGGCTCTCCAACTTTGGTGTAGCAGCTGACAAGGACTTCCAATGAGTTGTAACAAATCCATCAAACATTTCTTCGTAACTTCTTCATATGTGCTCCGATTCCAACAATTCTTGGCTCGTTGGAATGTGCTCGATGTCATGCACAATCCAAGCACATCTGCACAAGCACAAGATGAACATGCAAAGACATGCAAACCCAACAAACCATACAAACAACGTAGCACACAAAACACATGCAAACGAAATGATGCGAACAGACGACAGGATGACGTGCAAACAGCACATTCTTTGAGGGCTCCCAGAGTAGCCACCCCTTGCTCTCTGCCGCAAGCCCAAGGTGCACACACCAAAGTGCAGATGCTCCAAGCTTTGTCCTGTACGGTTTAGGGACATGCGCCACTGCCATGCATCCGAACACTCGAAGCATGTCCACTGGAGGCTTCTTTCCAAGCCACCTCTCCAGCGGCACCCACATATCATCAGCCACCTTTGTGAGTACGCGGTTCCTTGCCACTGTAGCATGCCTCACCGCATGAGGCCACATGGAGTTCCCCAGCCCTGATTCGATCAGCAGCGCTCGCGCAGTTTCCAGGATGGTCCTATTAGCCCTCTCAGCAACGCCATTTGACTGAGGGGTATAGGACGTCGTTAGCTGATGCTCAATGCCTTGTTTCTTGAGCCACGCAGTCAGATCTCCTCCTAGAAACTCTCCACCTCGGTCGGTTCTGATGCTCTTGCATGGGTGCCCAGATTGTCGCTCGACGAACGGCAGCCAATCATCTCGTATTGTTGAGGCAGCATGATCCTTCTGCTTCAACGGGTATGCCCACATCAGCCGACTCCAGTCATCAACTATTGTCAGGAAGTACCTTTCCCCCTTACTTCCTCGGACTGGAAAAGGTCCTACGAGGTCCATGTGCACCAGTTCCAGTGCTGCCTTGCTTTTCCCAGCTACGCCGTGAAAGGGGAACCGTGTGAACTTGCTCAGCAGACACGTCTCGCACTTGGTAGCATTTGGTTGCCCAGAAAGCTTGAGCCCCTTTACTGCTTCTTCCTTATGCAGTTGCTGCAGCAATGGCATAGCCACATGCCCTAGACGCCTGTGTGCGGTTTCCCAATCAGTCTCCCCCGACCTTGCAGAAACCGTCACTCCTGCAGCACTAACTGCATTACACTCCCCCTGGACTCCAGAACCCGCCTTTACTTCTCCCAACTCCTTCTTTGTTGATTCCCATATCAGTGCAGGGATCTGCCACATGGATCTGAAGACATCTCTGCTTTCGTGTAAATCCCATAACACACGATCTCCTCGCAGCCCCTTGAATGTTTTGGATCCATTGGTGGTGGTGCTGACTCCGGCCTGGCCTAGCTTGCGCAGCGATATCAGGTTGGCCTTCAGCCCCGGTACGAGTAACACATCCTTCAGCACAACCAGTCCACCATCAGGTGCTCTGAATGCAGCTCGACCAACTCCAGCGACCTTCACTGCATGTCCGGATGCTGAGCGCACTTCAGAGATTGGAGGCGCTCGCACAGCATCCAGCAAGTCCTTGCGTGGTGTCATTGTCCATGCAGCACCAGAGTCCATGACCCACATGTCAAGCGGGTGCAATTCCTCTCCAGCCCTTGCAACAGCTGTGCCACTGTCATCTTTGTCACACACATGGTAGAACTGTCCAGCATTCCTCTCCTCATTTCGCATTCCTCTGTCATCCTTGGAGGTTTCTTCAGCAGGATCAGCTACCATGTTGGCACCTCCATGTGGTTGTTTTCCTCCATTCCCCTTCTCCGATTGGTTCCAAGGGGTCCACCAGTCGGGCTTGGTAGGGCAGCGAAACCATGGATGCCCTTCTTCCTTGCAATACCAGCACTCTCCCCTCAAGCGTGGTTCACTGTTGTCATTGTTGGAGTGACCACCTCTTCCTCTTGCACCAGCGCCACCACGCCCCCGCTGGTTCCAAGTCCCGCGACCACCTTGGCTGTGGTAAGAGCGACCGCGATTGCCACGCCCTCGATCCCTCCATGTCCCTTGCATGGCATAGCCGCTGGTGCTGTCATCACCTCCGCGCAGTGTATAGCGACGAAAATCTTCTTCCAGAATCTTGGTGCGAATCCACTCCAATGTCCATTGACTTTGGTTTTGTGGCAAGCTGAGTCCGCTTATAAATTGCAGCCAAGACTCCGGCAGCAGGCTGAGCATCTTGAGACACTTTGTCTGCTCTGGGTACGTGATGCCTGCAATCGCCAATTTCGCGTAGAGTTCCCTCATCTTGTCCAGTACGGGCTGCACAGCTTCATTCTCGCTCAACCGCAGCATGGACAGCTCCCGATCCAGCATGAGAGAAGCGGCAACCGATGTCGGAGCGTGCAGGTCCTTGAGCACTGCCCATGCCTTGGGCCCACAATCAATTTCCGGTAGCAGATGCATGATGTGATGCCTCTGGTTCAGCTCCAAGCTTTGTGACAGTAGATAGTACCCAGCAGATGAACGTTCATCCCAGTCCGCTTGCTCTGCCATTTCCTTTGGCCTTGGCTCCGTTCCAATCATGAGCTTCAAGAGGCCAATTTGTCGAAAGTAGAGCTGCATCTTCCATGCCCAATCATCATAGCCATCTCCAGAGAACTTCTCAATGGTGAAGTTCTTCAGCACCTCCTTAAGCAGTGACCCCTGGCTTGTACGCGCTCCCCTTTGCGCTGCAATGCCAGAATCTTGGGTTGAGCTGCCTCCTTGGACTGAAGTATCACCTCCACCAGAGTCCTCTTTATCTCCCATCGTATTTTAGGTCCCAAATGCGTGATAATAGGCTCTGATACCACTTGTTGGTTAGAGAAGGCTATAAGCAGATGATTCAATGGCTCCTTGGAAATTTCTGCAGCACTTCGTTATGACGCCCAGAAAACTCGCGACCTTCGAATAGCTATATCAAAAACTCCAATCGGTGAAACGATCTGAAAATCGGATATGTTGTAGCTGGCAGTGTCAGCTTTCCACTGAAAGTTGAATCACTCGATTCCGTAGCTAAACGAGTGAGCTATGGCGTTTGGCGCACTGGGGGGTAATCTGCCCTAGGAGAAGTTGACAGTCCTCAGAGTCACTATGATTGAAGCTTACAAGATCAGAGGCATGATAGAAAAGGCATTGAAACACAGTTGGAAGGTGGGGTAGGAAGTGAAGGATGAAAGGGAAGGACCCTGGAGGCCCATGGTCAAGAACATGACAAGAGTCAAAGTTTTGACTCCCCATCCTCAGGTTCAGCCAGCCTGGCAAGACAAATTTCACACTGTGCCAGGTTGGCCTCCAAACCCCAAATGCTGCAGCTGCAAGGTGGGGACAAAAGTCCCACACATGCTGGTCCCTCCTCGTTATAGGGCTCTCCAACTTTGGTGTAGCAGCTGACAAGGACTTCCAATGAGTTGTAACAAATCCATCAAACATTTCTTCGTAACTTCTTCATATGTGCTCCGATTCCAACAATTCTTGGCTCGTTGGAATGTGCTCGATGTCATGCACAATCCAAGCACATCTGCACAAGCACAAGATGAACATGCAAAGACATGCAAACCCAACAAACCATACAAACAACGTAGCACACAAAACACATGCAAACGAAATGATGCGAACAGACGACAGGATGACGTGCAAATGAATATGCACCAACAAATCGAAGCCAAGCAAAGCCAAGCCAAGCCAAGCCAAGCGAAGGGAAGCGAAGCGAAGCGAAGCCAAGCAAAGCCAAGCCAAGCGAAGCAAAGCAAAGCCAAGCGAAGCGAAGTGAAGCCAAGCGAAGCAGGGCCAAGCGAAGCAAAGCCAGGCGAAGTCAAGCGAAGTGAAGCGAAGCCAAGCGAAGCAAAGCGAAGCCAAGCGAAGCGAAGCAAAGGGAAGCCAAGTGAAGCCAAGCAAAGCCAAGCGAAGCAAAGTGAAGCCAAGCCAAGCCAAGCCAAGCAAAGCCAAGCGAAGCCAAGCCAAGTGAAGCAAAGCGAAGTGAAGCCAAGCAAAGCCAAGCGAAGCCAAGCGATGCTAAGCGAAGCCAAGTGAAGCCAGGCGAAGCGAAGCCAAACGAAGCCAAGCGAAGCGAAGCCAAACGAAGCCAAGTGAAGCGAAACCAAGCAAAGCGAAGCCAAGCAAAGTGAAGCCAAGCAAAGTGAAGCCATGCCAAGCCAAGCCAAGCCAAGCCAAGCCCAGCCAAGCCAAGCAAAGTGAAGCGAAGGGAAGCGAAGCGAAGACAAGCGAAGTGAAGCAAAGCAAAGCGAAGCGATGTGAAGAAAGGCCAAGCAAAGCAAATCCAACCAAAGCCAAGCGAAGACAAGCGAATCGAAGCGAAGCCAAGCGAAGCGAAGCCAAGCGAAGCCAAGCCAATCCAAGCCAAGCATAGCCAAGCGAAGCCAAGCATAGCCAAGCCAAGCCAAGCCAAGCCAAGCAAATTGAAGCCAAGCCAGGCGAAGCGAAGCAAAGCCAAGCGAAGCGAAGGAAAGCCAAACAAAACGAAGCGAAGCCAAGCAAAGCGAAGCCAAGCCAAGCCAAGCCAAGCCAAGCCAAGCCAGGGCAGGTGAAGCCAAGCCAACCCAAGCAAAACCAAGCCAAGCCAAGCCAAGCCAAGCGAAGCCAAGCGAAGCGAATTGAAGCGCAGCGAAGCAAAGCCAAGCGAAGCGAAGCGTGAGCTTCTCTCTATGTCAAGACCAGATGCATTGCAACTGCATGTATGTCTGTGGCATCAGGATCACCGTCGATGTCGAGTTGTTCAAGCCGCCGTATGGAGTCCTTGTTGGTGCATATTCATTTGCACGTCATCCTGTCGTCTGTTCGCATCATTTCGTTTGCATGTGTTTTGTGTGCTACGTTGTTTGTATGGTTTGTTGGGTTTGCATGTCTTTGCATGTTCATCTTGTGCTTGTGCAGATGTGCTTGGATTGTGCATGACATCGAGCACATTCCAACGAGCCAAGAATTGTTGGAATCGGAGCACATATGAAGAAGTTACGAAGAAATGTTTGATGGATTTGTTACAACTCATTGGAAGTCCTTGTCAGCTGCTACACCAAAGTTGGAGAGCCCTATAACGAGGAGGGACCAGCATGTGTGGGACTTTTGTCCCCACCTTGCAGCTGCAGCATTTGGGGTTTGGAGGCCAACCTGGCACAGTGTGAATTTTGTCTTGCCAGGCTGGCTGAACCTGAGGATGGGGAGTCAAAACTTTGACTCTTGTCATGTTCTTGACCATGGGCCTCCAGGGTCCTTCCCTTTCATCCTTCCCTTCCTACCCCACCTTCCAACTGTGCTTCAATGCCTTTTCTATCATGCCTCTGATCTTGTAAGCTTCAATCATAGTGACTCTGAGGACTGTCAACTTCTCCTAGAGCAGATTACCCCCCAGTGCGCCAAACGCCATAGCTCGCTCGTTAAGCTACGGAATCGAGTGATTTAACTTTCAGTGGAAAGCTGACGCTGCCAGCTACAACATATCCGATTTTCATATTGTTTCACCGATTGGAGTTTTGGATATAGCTATTTGAAGGTCGCGAGTTTTCTGGGCGTCATAACGAAGTGCTGCAGAAATTTCCAAGGAGCCATTGAATCATCTGCTTATAGCCTTCTCTAACCAACAAGTGGTATCAGAGCCTATTATCACGCATTTGGGACCTAAAATACGATGGGAGATAAAGAGGACTCTGGTGGAGGTGATACTTCAGTCCAAGGAGGCAGCTCAACCCAAGATTCTGGCATTGCAGCGCAAAGGGGAGCGCGTACAAGCCAGGGGTCACTGCTTAAGGAGGTGCTGAAGAACTTCACCATTGAGAAGTTCTCTGGCGATGGCTATGATGATTGGGCATGGAAGATGCAGCTCTACTTTCGACAAATTGGCCTCTTGAAGCTCATGATTGGAACGGAGCCAAGGCCAAAGGAAATGGCAGAGCAAGCGGACTGGGATGAACGTTCATCTGCTGGGTATTATCTACTGTCACAAAGCTTGGAGCTGAACCAGAGGCATCACATCATGCATCTGCTACCGGAAATTGATTGTGGGCCCAAGGCATGGGCAGTGCTCAAGGACCTGCACGCTCCGACATCGGTTGCCGCTTCTCTCATGCTGGATCGGGAGCTGTCCATGCTGCGGTTGAGCGAGAATGAACCTGTGCAGCCCGTACTGGACAAGATGAGGGAACTCTACGCGAAATTGGCGATTGCAGGCATCACGTACCCAGAGCAGACAAAGTGTCTCAAGATGCTCAGCCTGCTGCCGGAGTCTTGGCTGCAATTTATAAGCGGACTCAGCTTGCCACAAAACCAAAGTCAATGGACATTGGAGTGGATTCGCACCAAGATTCTGGAAGAAGATTTTCGTCGCTATACACTGCGCGGAGGTGATGACAGCACCAGCGGCTATGCCATGCAAGGGACATGGAGGGATCGAGGGCGTGGCAATCGCGGTCGCTCCTACTACAACCAAGGTGGTCGCGGGACTTGGAACCAGCGGGGGCGTGGTGGCGCTGGTGCAAGAGGAAGAGGTGGTCACTCCAACAATGACAACAGTGAACCACGCTTGAGGGGAGAGTGCTGGTATTGCAAGGAAGAAGGGCATCCATGGTTTCGCTGCTCTACCAAGCCCGACTGGTGGACCCCATGGAACCAATCGCAAAAGGGGAATGGAGGAAAGCAACCACATGGAGGTGCCAACATGGTAGCTGATCCTGCTGAAGAAACCTCCAAGGATGACAGAGGAATGGGAAATGAGGAGAGGAATGCTGGACGGTTCTACCATGTGTGTGACAAAGATGACAGTGGCACAGCTGTTGCAAGGGCTGGAGAGGAATTGCACCCGCTTGACATGTGGGTCATGGACTCTGGTGCTGCATGGACAATGACACCACGCAAGGACTTGCTGGATGCTGTGCGAGCGACTCCAATCTCTGAAGTGCGCTCCGCATCCGGACATGCAGTGAAGGTCGCTGGAGTTGGTCGAGCTGCATTCAGAGCACCTGATGGTGGACTGGTTGTGCTGAAGGACGTGTTACTCGTACCGGGGCTGAAGGCCAATCTGATATTGCTGCGCAAGCTAGGCCAGGCCGGAGTCAGCACCACCACCAATGGATCCAAAACATTCAAGGGGCTGCGAGGAGATCGTGTGTTATGGGATTTACACGAAAGCAGAGATGTCTTCAGATCCATGTGGCAGATCCCTGCACTGATATGGGAATCAACAAAGAAGGAGTTGGGAGAAATAAAGGCGGGATCTGGAGACCAGGGGGAGTGTAATGCAGTTAGTGCTGCAGGAGTGACGGTTTCTGCAAGGTCGGGGGAGACTGATTGGGAAACCGCACACAGGCGTCTAGGGCATGTGGCTATGCCATTGCTGCAGCAACTGCATAAGGAAGAAGCAGTAAAGGGGCTCAAGCTTTCTGGGCAACCAAATGATACCAAGTGCGAGACGTGTCTGCTGAGCAAGTTCACACGGTTCCCCTTTCACGGCGTAGCTGGGAAAAGCAAGGCAGCACTGGAACTGGTGCACATGGACCTCGTAGGACCTTTTCCAGTCCGAGGAAGTAAGGGGGAAAGGTACTTCCTGACAATAGTTGATGACTGGAGTCGGCTGATGTGGGCATACCCGTTGAAGCAGAAGGATCATGCTGCCTCAACAATACGAGATGATTGGCTGCCGTTCGTCGAGCGACAATCTGGGCACCCATGCAAGAGCATCAGAACCGACCGAGGTGGAGAGTTTCTAGGAGGAGATCTGACTGCGTGGCTCAAGAAACAAGGCATTGAGCATCAGCTAACGACGTCCTATACCCCTCAGTCAAATGGCGTTGCTGAGAGGGCTAATAGGACCATCCTGGAAACTGCGCGAGCGCTGCTGATCGAATCAGGGCTGGGGAACTCCATGTGGCCTCATGCGGTGAGGCACGCTACAGTGGCAAGGAACCGCGTACTCACAAAGGTGGCTGATGATATGTGGGTGCCGCTGGAGAGGTGGCTTGGAAAGAAGCCTCCAGTGGACATGCTTCGCTTGCGTGACACGTTTTCTTTCTTGTGGAGTGTAACGTCGCTGTCACCGTACCTATAGAATGCCTACCATGCTTCTAGGTGGTGTTCCAACAGACGATTTCACTCATTTCTAGAACTGTCTT